GGGGGGGGGGGGGAGTGAGTGCATGACACTGAGATTAGTAACTAGTTACATGGTCCAGTTTACCCCGTAACATATATGAAGTAACATGGGCGCGGTATTGGCATCAAGATTCGTGATCTGAGTATATAATTGATTTGGAATCAGGTTATTTGCTTTCTCAATTATGGGCATCCATTGAATACACGTTCCTCAAGCTGCTTTTCAATCCATGTTTGGACTAACGTTTCTTATGCTGCTTTTCACCCCATGGTTAGACTACATAAATCAAAATTCTAGTGGAGTGTGATGTGTATAGTGCCACTCTTGAATATGTGAAGCATTTACTGTACACTTTACTTTTAAATGGTCTAATGGTTTGATCCTATAATTTCAAGTTCTTTTTTGGGCTTTTGAGGTTAGGTTGTCACTAAGGCATCCAATGTCTATCCAAAAGATACTGACGCCCCTTCATGTGGCACGGATGATATGACAAAGCTTTCTTATCTTCACGAACCAGGAGTTCTCTATAACCTGAGATGTAGATATGATAATGATGAAATTTATGTAAGTGTTCTCTCTTAGTATGCAATATATCTCGTTTACTGAGTAGTAATGACGTATACTGTGGCTTTTACTTTCTTTAACATATCCGTTCTCCTTTCAGTTAGTTTGATTTAGTAGGAAAAAATGTTTCCTTTTTTGGTTTATCTTTGATATGTTGCTGTTTGTTTTTGTCAAGATCTCAAATGGCCCGTGTGCTGCATTGATGTATCTATCTAATCATTCCTTCAGACTTACACAGGAAACATACTGATTGCTGTGAATCCTTTTAAAAGATTACCTGAATTGTATGGCAAATGTGTCATGGAAAAGTATAGAGGAACTGCACTTGGGGAGTTGAGTCCTCACCCTTTTGCTATTGCTGATGCTGCTTACAGGCAAGCTGTGATGCAAGGTTTTATGTGTCTACTCACGTGCAATGATTTCCATGCTTTCCATAAAGCTGTACTTATGGATGCAGACAGATGATTAATGACGGGATCAGCCAGTCAATTTTGGTTAGTGGAGAAAGTGGAGCTGGCAAGACAGAAAGCACAAAGATGCTAATGAATTATCTTGCATATATGGGGGGCAGAGCAGCAGATGCGGGACGGAGCGTGGAGCAACAAGTCCTTGAGGTATGCATTGCCCTCTGTAAATATTTAATTTTGATTATTATGCTATAACGTAACGTTCTGCTTTCAAGAATCCTAATATGGTCTAAGATGTGGATTTTCTTTATTTTCCAGTCAAATCCGGTTCTTGAAGCATTTGGCAATGCAAAAACAGTGAGAAACAACAATTCAAGGTG